TCTCAAGAAGTTGTGCCGCACTGAGTGGATCAAGGAAGAGAAGGTGGTGACGGCCGCGGATAAGCGTCTGGCCATGATCAAGAGGTCCATCAAGGTTTGGAATGACATGAAGCAAGAAATTGTTCGAAAATCGTTTGAAAAAGAATTAAGTATTTTTGAAATTTGAGCGAAATTGTAAAAAAATCCAATGTTTACATAAAATTTCAATGAATCATATAGGTGCATAAAAAGTCGCACTGCCAGAGGCCCCGTGCCTCGACCTTCACCCCTCACACGTAAAGTGCTACCAAAGCATGGTCACTCAGCGTTTCGCTGCTTACCCACTGCGCCATTCCTAAGAACGGAGGTATCCTCAGTCTGAAATAGTATGCGAAATAACGGTATGAGGTCATTGCAATTTGTCCCGAGTTCGATCCCGGATGAAGCCGAATTGATGAGTGGCTAAAATCCGACCAATCACCAAGCGTAGCCTCATGTAGACTCATGTTGAAGTAATGAGATTTATTATATTTTTGTCCCACTCGGGCAGCAGAGCATACAAACTTTAAAATAGCAAACAATACCACTGTGCGCCAGTTCACATGTAGTTCTCTGTACATGACGAAAAGCGATCTTGTCAGTGCCATCCAGTTGGCGTGGTCCCAAATTTCCCTCAACTACCTCCAAAGCCTCATCGATTCGATGCCACGACGATGCCTGGCAGTAGTCGAAGTGAAAGGCTGCAAGTGTGATTACTAGGATTTGAATAGAATGCCCTGTACATTAAAATGCGTTCTTCGTTCTTGATGGCTGCAATCATTTGTCGCACACAGAATTTTGAATTTGCTTACTTACTGCATGTTGACTTCGCAAATTACTCCGAAAGGTCGCTTACATGTATTTGAATGTCTACTCGGCATGGTTCCTACAGAGAACATGTCCAAGATTTGATTTAGCTTTGCGCATTGCCGAAATAATGGGGTGGCTGCAACCATGTGGCGAGCAGTGTATATGTACAAACGCTGTGTCGAGATTGTCTGGAAATGAATTATCGTCTGGACGAGCTCAAGTCGCAGAATGCGCTTAATGCCACACATTCCATCAATGTCGTTCCCTTATAATCGCGTGTTCAAACCTGTCGTGCTGCAAGACGAAATCCTTACGACGCTTTCGACTCTCGATAATATCCTGCGACAGTCGCGACGTTTGAAGTTGTCGCTCGGCCCTCAGTGGATTAGGACATATTGATCCCTAGCAACGGTCGAGGAGGTTCTTCCGATGGTGGCGTTGGTCGAAGCTTTCCCAGCAGTTGTGCCAACGTATCTTGAATCGATTTCTGAACGGGTTTCGGTCGGGGCGGTCGCGACGGGTGTCGTCGACGGTTGATCTTGTCCTGCGTAGCCTACGCAAAACTTGTTCATGCAACATCCATGCCAGCGTACTACCTCGAGTTTCGCTTGGGCCTTTGCTGCCATCTCCTCCAAATGTTTGCGACGAAGCTCTGCTTTGAGCGCAGCGAGCGTGGCATCTCCCCGTTCTTTCACAATTTCCACGAGATGTCCGTTGTATCCCGCAGTTTGGACCCCGCTAGGTTCTGCTTGAGCAAATCGTGACTTCCTGCCGCCTCGATTCTGCGCAGTGGGACGAGAGTCCACCGCATATTGGCTCGCAGCACCAGACGGAACCTTGTCTGGTGTCGAGGTTGGTTCATGCTGGACTGGTGACCCTCTGCCTTGTACTGCATGCGATGATACTGTGACTTGGGGGGAAATTTCAGGGATCGGCACGGCGTGGGACGTCATGGTCGAGTCAGTGATGGTGATGTTTGAATTCGGCAGAGGTTTGGGTGGGTCTGCTTTCGGAACGTCGGGGTGGACGCCGCCAAAGTACACGCGCAGCCGGACTTGCTCGAGTTCGTACAAGAGCTCGGTGTAGTCGTGCTGCATCTTGTCCGCGTACGATCGGTCCTGGTAGAACACGACGTCGCCGTACTTGGTCACGAGATCGTCCAGCACCTTTTTGCAAAAGTCGGTGTGGTTGTTGAGTAGTAGAAAGAGCCGATCGCGTTGGCGTTGTTCCTGAATTCACAAAAGTTGCTACAGAAGCGTGGAAATACCCGCCAAGTCACATACTTTCAGCCGCAACGTCGAGATAGTTTGAAAAAGCCGCCGTGGATCGCTCGCGACAAGCTCAAACTCGTACACGCGTTGGAGAGTTGTTTCTCGGTCCATGATGCAATTGGCCGCCTACGGATCGTGCCATGAATGCCACAACAACGATCCGTTCGCCAACCTTTTCCCACAAATCGAGCGCAGCTTCGAGGTTGGCCGAGTGTTTGAGCGACGTGTACTTCATCACAACGGCAAGCTTCTTTCGCGCCGACAGCTGAAGCGCCGATAGGACCGCTTCCATGCGTTGCTGGAGGTTGATGCGCCATGGACACGGTTTGCCGTCCTCGAGCATGGCTTTGCCGATTTCGTCCTGGAGCTTTTGCTCAATCTCGAGCTGCTTGAGGTGCAGGGTCGGGTCGGTTTCAACAGGCGCGTCCAGTGTCGACACTTGGCAGATAACTTTTTTGTACACTTCTCGGCGGGACTGTGATTGAACGCGCGACGGCTCGGTCGAAGCGAGCATGCGCCTCCGGGACACGGTGGTTTGTTTCGTCTGGCGCTTCGACTCAATGTTGAACAAGTGTTTGGTGTCGGTATTGTCTGCCGTGCCGTCGCGTGGGGTGTCAGGAGGAATGTCATCAAATTCAGTGATGAACGATCGCTGGGGCGACAGCGTGCTTCCGTCGTGGACGGCGCGCGACGGCGCCAATTCGCTGACACTGTCCGACAATTCCAAGTCGTCGTTGTCGCGTTCGGAATCGCCACCATGCGTGCTAGACGATCGGCGGCGACGGCCTCCGGATGTCCCCGCCGACTGCTTTCGTCGAGTATTTTTGCCATCCACATCGCCTGCATTGTCGATGGTGTCTTGTGCCACGGACAAGCGGCGGCTCTTTCGACGAAGACTTCCAGATAACTCGCTTTCTGCGGGTCGCGTTCTCGACGGCGCAATACTATCGTTGGCTGGGACGGCCTCTTGGTTGCCCATGGCCGCGTTGACCACGCTCAGCCACGCGTCGTCGTCGGGCACGCCATTCTCCTTTGCGACCTGCCATGCATGTGAACTCACCGATGCCTCGTTGTGATTCTTACAGGTTCTTCGGCGACGTCACACATGGGTTGGTTCCAGTCGACGCAGTAGAGGGACACGGACGCAAAAGGGACCTTTTGCCCCTTGACTGCGGCCGCCGTGACCGTTTTCCGCCCGTCAATAAACTGCTGCAACGTCAGTGGCGCGAGCGAGACGAGGGACGATTCGTCTGCGTTCGAGTCGTCGTGGACATGAAAAACGAGGGGCGCTTGGTGCTGCATGACTGTCGACATCGACGCTTGGCTGTCGACGGACTGACGCCGCTTGTCACGGGTGACGGTAGCGGACGGCGCTTGCGTTTTGCACAGGAGTTGGAGCTGGTCCAAAAGTAGCACAGCCATGTCGATTTGAACCCGCGGCGGCATGACAAAGCTTGGGGCATCTGGACACGGCGGTCCGATGTCGGTGAGGCGCATTTCGTCCATGGGAAATGGAATCGATGGCTACAAACATTGTGTCGACGACAGACAAGTAAGGGGGAGTCGCCCGTACCAGGAACAGCACGTCTAACTGGGTCGGGTCGAAGCGGTCGGAAAAGGTCGGGAAGAATTCAAACGCTGGCGACGAAATCGACGGCACTGCCTTTGGCCGCGAGAGAGACAAAGACGACAACTTGCGCGGCACGATGCTGGTTACGCTACTATTTCGATGGGGGCTTGGATAGCCCTGGTCGTGTTCGCCAACGTCGTTGGCATCGTCCGCGTCGATCCGGTTGGGTTTCTCGTGCTCCTACAATTCGCTGAGGTTTGACTGAACCAAACTCGACCTCGCTGCAGATTCCAGGCACGAACATGACAAGCTGCATCGTCGTCCGTCGCTTCGGTCGCAGCATGTTTAGCTTCGCGTTGGGTCTTGATGTATGCTTCGGAAAACATTCTCGACTCGGTGCACTTTGTCCGCTTGATGCGGTCGCGTTGGTGGCGGGGGAGTGCCGTGGTGATTTTGACGATCTGGGCTATGGATCGCGGGCGGTGGACACCTCCCGTCGACGGCGGGGGCTTGGGCTTGACCGCGAGACGTTGGTGGTGCGGGACCGATTTGAACTTGCCATGCTTGTCCAAGAGCGACGTCGGGTGAAACGATTGCCTCAGGATCGCCTCAACGTCGGCTTTGGGTAGAATCGCCACGGCCACGTCCGCCGACGACGCGGTCAAATCGACCCCGCCAGGTCGGGAGAGCAATACGTCCATGTCTCCGCCGACAATCCAGTCCGTCTCGGCATCTCTACACGTTATGTGTATCCAGGCTCGATGGGTGGCAACCACGAGCTGTCGTACTTTTGAATTGGACTACTCCCCTCACCGCCCGTAGCCATGTCCACACGGCCGTTGAGAACCATGTACATGTGCGGCGACACGACATCTGCAGACGCGATTGCATCACCTGGGCGCAAGTGGACCAACGTCGTGGCTTTGGCCATTTCAGCCTGGTCGAACGAATGAGCCCACAACATCGACAGATGTGGCCACACTACTTTGAACGGGAGCGGGACGAGCTCGAGGGACGGAAGGCGGCAGAGAAGGAGGAGGATTTTGCGCAGGTGCGCCAACGAATCGGACGAGTTCATGCCTGTGAACATCCTTGAGCATGTCGCGAATCTGGAAAACGAGCGTCGTTACCGCAGTACGTGAGCATGTGGCTCTGAGTCGTCCATTGGTAGTCTTCGACTTGATCGCACAGGATCTGAAACCTGCGCTCCTTGGCGGCTCGGGACATGGTGACATGCGGCGACGCATGCAGTGGCGGTGCCGTCGCTGATCGAGAACTAGGCTGACTTGGGTGGTTTCCATGCGCGCGGTGGGCTTCTAAGTAGTGGTCCATCGCCTCCAACTTGAAGCGATGCAGCGTCATCCCGGCCCCCATGTGTTGCTCCGACGACCCAAACAACTCTTCCATGCACTCGAGCAACACCTACCCAAGTTTAGACATAGACACACGCGTTGCAGAGCAATTTGGCCAACCTTTTGGCGAACGGCGTCGGCGGTCAAGACTGTCCGGACTTCGATTTTGAACGACGACAGCAACCGCGTGATTGTTTGGTCGGTCGTGAACATCCCGTTCTGGTACGTCTTGACGTATGTAGCGCGCATGCTGACAAAGAGCGCGTCCCCGATTGCGTCCATCGCTTTGTGGATCTTCTCCATGAGCTTCTGTCCATGGATCTGCGTGATGTTTTGTATTGCCAACATGCGCCCCATGGCAGGGTCGCGCGGATCGGTCCAAATTTCGTGCATGATACGCTTCTTGTGCAGCTTCAAATCGCCTTGCCACGAGTTCTCCCATGCCTGCAAAGACGAGGGTGAACGAGGGGATGGAGTATTGACATGGAATACATCGAGATGGCCGCTAAGATCGTCTGTTTCCGGTTCTTCTGCCACTACCACAGGCTTCGCTTCGACCTTCTTCTGACGCAGCGGGACGGTCACAATCTCAAAGTTGCACCGGCGTTCATCCTTCACCGACGGCGTGCCGTCATGGGTCGCCAGACCTGGAGCAATCACATGACTCGACGTAGGGCAGAAGGCACACCGTACGTCGTGACGCGAGGTCTTCCAGCAGCTTCTTCTTGGCAGCGTGATGGACGTGTTGGTCAGCGGCGGTGAACCCGTCTTCGTTGTTCGACCCGTTGTCCTCCACCGCCGGAGGCTGCCACGGCATCGTGACGCATCCCGTGTAACTGAAAACGGCACTCGGCAGAAGATGGCTTTGATTGGTGGATAGTCTTAAACGTTGGCCAATAAACAGGAGTATGCCACCAAATCCCGTCAATCTTTCACCAATCACCACAGAAAAGAAACTCAATTGGATAAAATTCAAAGTGAAGTGACGCTCGCAACGGGTCCGCAAACTCGCCGCCAAGATGATCCAGAGCTTGTTCATCATCACGTCCACGGGGGAGACAATTATCGAGAAGCATTGGCGCGGGACGACGAACAGAGCGATATGCGACTACTTTGTCGAGGAGGTCAACCGACATAAGCGGCGCGAGGTGCGTGCGTGCTGTTAACGTGCATCCACTGATGTTGGGGCAGGATGTCCCGCCGATCATCTCGACCGGTAACCACTACCTCATCAGCGCGTTTCGAGAGGACCTGTTTGTGCTGGCTGTCATAACAAACGAGGTGCACACACGACTGACATGTGCGTGGCGAACTAACTCGCGCAGACGTCACCGCTGTTCGTGATCGAGTTTCTCCATCGCGTTGTGGCCGTGTTCAGGGAATACTTTGGCAAGTTTGAAGAGTCGGTCATCAAGGATAACTTTTCGACGGTCTATCAACTGCTCGAGGAAATGCTCGACAATGGGTATCCCCTCACGACGGAACCGAACGCGTTGAAAGCGATGGTGGCCCCGCCGCCGGGCGTCGTCGGGCGTCTTGCCGCCATGGTGTCTGTACGCCGTCATGCCGTCCCTTCAATCGATTCGTTGACTCCGTCGTGGTCGAGTAGGGACGATCAGGCGTGAGCGAATCGTTGCCGGACGGCGCGTTGTCCAACATGCCGTGGCGAAAGGCTGGCGTCAAGTACTCGCAGGTACCGACCCCAGCGCCTGTGTATCTCCCACACATTGTCGTTGCACAGAACGAAATCTACTTTGACGTGGTCGAAGAAATCGACGCGATCGTGGACGCGCACGGCGAAATGCTGCAATGCGAAGTGCATGGCTCGATCAAGGGCAACTGCCGCCTCTCGGGTGTCCCGGACCTCACCATGGTCTTTCGCGATCCGTCCGTCATCGACGATTGCTCGTTTCACCCGTGCGTTCGGTTTTCCCGCTACGAGCATGAACGAGTCATTTCGTTCGTCCCGCCGGACGGCCACTTCGAGGTACTCGATTGCTGCGTCGACTTCGATCGTATGGTCGGGCCATTATCGTCGTCCGTCAAAGCGAGTGGTCAAGCCGACCCGTGGCCAAGTTGGCGCTTGTGTGTTTCATATGTGACAAGTGCTTGCTGTCGATATTCGCGTTGCATGCGGCGTCTTTCACTGTTGTCGTGGGCATTGCAACCCCATGTGTCTAGCTGATGCAATACCGCGTGCACGTCAACCACGTCGTCCCGCCCATCTTGTGCCAGCCGTCCGTCACGTACGACAAGATCGGGACGGGATCGGTCGACTTGACGCTGCTGCAGCGCCACATGCCGACGCTCGTGTCGACGTCGTCAAAGAAAGCGTTGAAACCGGACAACGTGTCGGTCGAGATTGTGTTTCCATCCGCCGTCCAGACTGTCCATGCCAACACAAACCACGGAAGTTGTTTGTTTGACGACGTGACCAAGGTCGGCCATGTATATTTCCGCGGCACACTCGTCTGATCGTGGCGTCTGTCGTCGTAGACGCTCACGTGGACGGTCGTGTGGAGCAAAAAGGTAATGTCGCCCACGTGCCATGGGACGGTCGTCCTCGAGCCGAACGCAGGCATTCCCGACGACAACCCGATCGTGCTGCTCCGCTTTTCCGTGCCATTGAGCACCGTCAGTGGTCTCACTGTCGACTCGCTCGTCCTGTCCAACGAAAAGTACACGCCGTACAAGGGCGTGCGCACACTCACCAAGACCGGACGCTTTCAAATCCGAACGTAGTTGGCTGCGTCGTCGTCTTGGCCAGCGTGTATCGAGGTATGGCAGCGCGAATGACATGTTTTTCGACCTCCATGGCGACAACCACCGCGCTGCTCCCCCCTTGTGACCCCCATGAGCTCTGCGTCCTCTCTCTATTGTCGTGGCTTTTGTGTCATCCTGTTCATGTCTGCCTGCGTGGCGACCATCACCGGATCGAAATCGGACATGCACCAGACGATCACGACGTCGCCAGAGCTGACCACGTCGTGCATAGCGTGTCGTGCCCTGCTTCGTGCTCAACTCGTGGGAGCTGTCCCTTTTGTTGGGATTGCGCACGTGTCGGAGCCATGGGCGCGAGTCCAAAACTCTGAATCGAACGCAGGCAATTACGACGCTACCATGCTTTCGGCGCAAGTCGAGTTGCTGGCATCCAGCAACAAATACTCGTTGCTAGATGCCAGTGACGGAAGACGGCGCGAGAGACGCTGGATGAAGTTGGAAAGCTGTATTGTTGACAGGATCTCGTGCCCCGTTCGACGAGAGAGGTGACAGCATGGAGGCGGCGCTACGTGCGAATTTGGAACCGCCCCGCTTGGGTGAGGGTGCGCACGCCCTTGTACGGTTTGTAGTTTTCGTTGGTCAGGACGAGCGTCTCGACAGCGAGGCCGCTCACGGTTGTGAACGGAACTTTGAACCCGAGGAGCACGATCGGTTTCTCGTCCGGCGTCGCCGCGCCGTGCTGCAACACGATCGACCCTTTCAGCGACGGCGACAGCACCTTCTTCGGATTGAATTTTCCCACCGTCCACTTGAGCGTCTTGGTCGAGTCGTCAAACAGGCACGACCCGCTGTCCGTGTTGGCATCCACTGTCCGCACGCTCTTGGGGAACGTGATTTGCACCGTGATGTCTTCCGCTGCCACGACGTCAGACGCGGCCGAACGGGACGCACGTACTCTGCACGGGCTTCTTCGTGTTGTTGACGAGCGTGGGCATGTTGCGGGCGCCGATGGTAATCTCCAACGTCCCGCCCTTTTCCGTGTACTTGACGTGCGGCTGGCAAAAGATGGGCGGCACCATTTGATTCACTTGAACGCGGTATTGCATGAGCTAGCTCACGACACGCCACCGTTGTGAGACGAGTTCACACCACGGTGGAAAGCACCTCAAAGTGGCCGTCCGGCGGCACAAACGAAATGACACGTTCGCGCTCGTACCGAGCATACCGCACACACGGATGGAACGAGCAGTCGTCGATGACGGACGGGTCCACAAACACCATGGTGAGGTCTGGGACGCCGGAGAGACGGCTGTGGCCGTTGATCGTGCCGCTGACTTCGCAAGACAGCATTTGGCCGTGGCTGTCGACGATTGCGTCGATTTCCTCGACCACGTCAAAGTAGATTTCATTCTAGGATGACGAGTGTACACCACAAGGACATGGCAAGTGAGTCGCATGTACCTGCGTGTACTTGACTCCGGCCTTGCGCCACGGGATGTTGGAGATCGCACCGTCGGGCAGCTGGTCGCTGACGCGGGACTTGCCCTAGTCGAGGCATCGTGTGATGAACGAAGAACCAATGGAGACTCGACGGACGGAAACGATGGCGGCAATACGGTTGACCGTCGAAGGAGGCGCGACCATCGCTTTCAACGCGTTCGGCTCGGTCGTGAGAGGGTACCCGTTGTCGAGCATTTCCTCGAGGAGTTGGTACACGGTCGAAAAGTTGTCCTTGATGGCGCTTTCTTCGAAGCTCCCAAAGTAATCTCGAAACACGGCGACGACTCGGTGGAGGAACTCGATGACAAACAACGGTGCAATCTACTCGGCGGGAATGAGCGTCGAACGTCGAATGGACCCAACCTCGTTAGTCACGACTGCGAGAAGGAACAAGCCTTCGCGGAAAACACTAATGAAGTAGTGCTTGGACGTGGCAATGACTGGCGGTACGTCCTACAACCATCCTATTCGTTGGACAACGATCGACCATGCGCGCACGACCACGGCGCGCACGACATACCTCGCGAAGCTTGTACTTGTTGACTTCCTCGACAAAGAAGTCGCACACGGTACGGTTCGTGATGCCGCGCCAGTGCTTTTCGATGATGATCTCTCCTGTCGACGTGATGATGAACATGCTTTGAATCATCTTGGCCTCAAGTCCCGTGCGACGCCGCCTCGGATCGATCGCGACGCGCGACCGTGCGTTTGCAAATCCTTCGATGAAACACTCCACATACCAATACTCTCCATCATTGGTTGAAAAAATGTGCATGACTGATTTTAGGCGAATCCAATGCTGCTATGTCCTTCTTTTTATCCAATCCGTGTGCATTTTGCGTCCATGTGCTTATCAAGTTGGCGAAACGTCACGTGCCCGCGCCACCTCGACGTCTCCGACCCTCGGGGCGTGGATTCTTCATCGATCGTGGCACCGCGATGGACCGACGGACCGAGGCGCTTTCGTCGATTCTTTGACCCCCAACACTGGCGGTGACGTGTGTGGAAACAGACCGGCGGTTTCGTCCAAATGGCACGACGGGCAAGCTCGATCCTGGACAACGCGGCCGCTACGTTCCTTCCCACCGACGACACTGCCGCGGCGATCTTGTCTCGGTTTGTAGATCCTTCCGGACGATATGGGTGGACGCAAACTCTGGAAGAACTGTACGTGTATGTACCAGTGCGGCCACGAATTGTGCGAAAAGGCGTCAACGTCTTGGCCACTCAGTCCTCCGACCACGTAAGTACCATCTACGAGGGTCCATCGACTGGGTTGGTCCAATACCAGCCCTTAGACGCATTGGTTCACTGTGATTGTCGATACAATTCCACGAGTCCACGCACAGTTGGCTGCCCACGTGAAGTGCGCATCGCTCGACTGGGACATCGCCGCGCAGAAGGAATCGAGTCCGTTCTACTCTCGTGCAGTACTGCCAACGGCGACGGAGCCGTCCATGGAGGTATGTATCACACTCGCCAAGGCGGTTCCTGGGCACTGGGCGACATTGTTTGGCTCGTGTAGTTGAAACTACGTCGTCGTATTTTCCATTCAATTTTGTGTCATCACAATCGCTTTTCAAGTGGCATTATTTCGGTTACTTCTACGCAAAATCATCGAAAAAATAATCAAATGGATAAAAACTCGACAAAGCGGCGCTCGAATGACTCAAACGAATAAAGCAGGGATGGCACGAGTAGGTTTTTCACACCTAGGTTACGAAGGGTTTTTCTTTTAT